AAGGAACTATTTGCTTCGTTAAAAAAAATCTACATTTTTGTATTTCACAATCCACAGACAGACAAGTAGGCAGTAAACGAGCCCAGTGCGCCAACAAGTACTCATTATGGACAAAAATTTTATGCAATTTTTAATTCCTTCCCAGCGATGCGTGAGTTATTAGGGCGTGGATGTAACCATTATAATCCTGTTGAATGCGGTTTAAACCAGAATTCAGTTATTGTTTTCTTATTTGCTATTGGGCAGCTTCGAAGATAGACTACGTTTTTAAATTTCAACTTGAGTATATTAACATAAAATTATGTAGTATTTATAATATTTATCTTCACAAGTATTTATCACATATACCTTAGTTTTTGGAACTGGGCGAGGCGACACTGAAGTCAAATACTTTTCAAATCTAACTCAGTAACTGTTCCAGGGAGAGGCTCGATTTATAAAACTGTTCATGATTATGAGCTCTATATGACTTGAAAATTGTCGAACAACCCCGAGCATCCTCTTCGAACTGTCCGTGAATTAACCATATCAACTGAGTAACTAGTAGTTATTAATGAATGCTTACAAAGACTATTTTATACCGAATTACGTAATAATTACATAGTATTTTCCTTCACAATATTTTCTTAAAAGCAGTAGAGATCCTAATGTTGATTCTCGGCCCGCGACCAGATGTCTGTGAACAAACACTATTATGCATTGCATAATTTGTGACTTTGTTTATACGAGCTGCAATAACTCTCAGATACATAAAATTAATCATAAAGCCATGGAGGAATTTACACATTAATACTTAGAGTTAATTAATCATGTTTATTAAGTATAATGTTGAAAAATTACGTGAACGAGCAATTTATGTGTGATAAGACAGGATAATTATATACTTATCACAATTTTTTGTTGTTTTTTTTTAGTGTGGGAGAGCCATGCTTCGGCACGAATGGGTCGGCTCGACCGGAGTGATACCACGGCCTCACAGAAAACCGGCGTGAAATAACCACAGTGTTGTGTTTCGCCGTGTGAGTGAGGTTACCGGAGGCCCAATCCTTCCCCTCCCCCTATCCCTCTTCAATCCCTTAATCTCCAAATCCCTAAAAGGTCGACAACGCACTCGTAACTGCTCCGTTACGAGTGTCCATGGGCGGCGCTGATTGCTTACCATCAGGTAATCCGTCTGCTCGTTTGCCGACCTACGTTTTAATTAAATTTTAAAGTTATAATTGAGGTTTTGACTAAATGCCCAGACCTGCAATGTCGTAGTTAGGTATAGTTATCTGCCAGATAGCTTTAACTTAGTTCAAAGGAAATCAAGTTTCATCTTGTAGCCATTTATCACAACACTTGTCCACGACACATAAAGTTTCCCAGATAAGTATCGGAAGAGAAAATGTCATTTTTATGAACAAGATCATAATCGGTGTAAAGGATGTGGCGACCGGACGATTACTGATTGTAATCGGAGAAAGGGGGAGATCAAGAACACAGCAAGCAAATCAACCTACCCAAAATTATCAAAATTCTCCAACCGATATTCAACTTTATCGTTTTGAAATAAAGTTCAAGGTAATTAGAAATGTTTGACGAGATAGTATACTTTGTTTTGCTGGCATCTTTACCTATATAAAATTGACGACCCGTAACGTAATGCCACGGAGCTTGTACGGAGAAATGAACATTATTTTTTATTTAATACGGATTTTTATTATGTGCTATGGAGATTTCAATCGATTGGTAGAAAGAGAGGGTGGTTAGAAAGGGATATCAAGATTGACGTCTAAGAATAATTTTATTGGAGGGACTGATGCAGTTAGTGAATTAAATTTATTAAAAATAACGATTGACTCACGTGTATTACCTGAGAAAATCTAATGTTTAAGTACCTCGTGGTCGTGGTATAGTACCGGAAATCTGGAAAGTACCAATGTGACTTTTTCCGACTTATGTGTATGTACTTTCTCAGTTTATTAAGACACCACTGGCATCGCAAACGTCGAAGGAAAACATCCTGAGGCAAAATTGGAGTTTTAATTTCTTTTTATAAGTTTTTATTATTCCTTGAGCAAGCGTGGTGATTAATGCTCAAACCTTTTCTGCGTGATAAGAGGCCTTTGCTCAGCAGGGGGCAGTCGTAGGCGAATGATGTGAAAGTAAATGTCGTCATGTTCAACAAATGTAGTATATCTTAAAAACAAATAATTAATAAAAAAGTGGAAGCATAAATTGTTGTTAATATAGATTTTCCTTGTTCAAAAACATTCATAGGGCTCTATCTTCGTTTACTACTTATAAGAACGCTTTGCTAGTCATCTTAACAAGGATTCAGAGCCTGCTACCACGAGTTATTTTAATTATTTTATGTGCTTATTATATATTAGATAATGTTTATTATGTATATATACTATCAACCCTGCTATGTCTAGTAATAAAGGAAAAGACATATAAATATTATCCTTACAGGACATTTACGTCCGAAGAATTATGACAGACGTAATTTTTGGAATATGATCTTTTAGGACTACGCTGCTACTGCAAAACATCCCAGCTTCGTCCGTAAAACTAGGGTAATAAGAAGCCTTATTTATAGTGATGCTAAACTATAATACATGCTAAATTTCATTCGATTCCGTTCAGCAGTTTTTACGTGAAAGCGTTACAAACATCTATCCGTACTTATAATCTTATGCGTTTATAATAATAAGTCAGATAAAAAATTCTATGTTCATAATTATATGTAAGTACCTATATAGTATATGTACGTTCAGGTTCATTGACCTACTAAGTACCTACATACGTCACACACAGGATGTCCAAAATTGATTAGAATCACGAATTGTAATAAAAAACCAGAGTGAAACATATTTATTATATTAATCGTTTCCTAAGAGGAGGCTAAGCATGTACCATAGAGTTCTAATGGCGTACTTAACTAACTAGTTTGGACGGAAGTTCACAAATTATTGACTCTTAGGGGTCACAAACATTTCTTTAGGGACTTGTTCTGTTGTGAAATACTGTTTTTAATAACTTTTTATAAGAATTATTTCACTTTTGTTGTTGAAATCTTCAAAATGAACCTTTCTTGAGGAAGGAAAGCCATCCAATGACTACTTTTGCCTTGGGTGTGATGAGAAAAACTGTCAAACTCTTACTGACTGAAAACAAACTGTTCTTTCTCCAGCACCAGGCCAAAGTGGCGATTCCTTATTGCGCTTGACCCGCAACCACGGCTAAGCATCGGCCCTGTTGGACTCTATCTGTGGTGGTCTATTGGCTATTGAGGCGCGCACTGAACACTACGCGGCCTCACGCTCAGGTCTTGGCCTTTTGACTTAGATAAAAGTCTATTAAAAAAAGCCTTTGCTATTTATTTGTACCAAACTGTGACAAAAGAGTATAAGATGACGAAAACCACTTTAGTTGTCACCATCAGAACAATTAAGGAGACACTCTGAAACCCCCACTGTCCAACGGCGATAATGGCATATTCTTAGAGTGCGATTACCCACCAAATCATTCATTTTTCTCGTCTGGTGTCAATTAAACAAGATATATTCAAACAGTGTGTAGTCATCAATCTGTTTTACATTCAAACATGAGAATTTTAACGAAACTACTGTGGTTTTACTATAATCAGAGCTATGTAGCGCCCTCTGGATGGATATAAACCAGTATAACTAACTACGTATGTATGTATATTTTCATATATTACCTTCCTATCATGTATTATGTAAATAAATTTTGTATTATTTGATATAAACCTCCATGTCTCATAACTATGTACTTGTAAAAAATACATACAACAGTCTCTCTGTAGCTACTACTGATAGGATGACTGGCAGAAAATGCTATGGGTATTAATAACTTAAATTGGCAATAGTTTTTATTTTATTCACAATCCAAAAATAATTAAAAGTTATTTAGTTATGTTAGTGGCGTTTATTTATTTACAACCTATTTATTTGTTTTAAAATAATATAAAAAGGTAAAATTTGTAAGTTTGTATGTAGGAGGTAATCTTTGGAACCGGTGGTCGAATTTCCAAAATTCTTTCACTGATAGATAGCTACAATGATCCTGAGTGCTATATATAGGCTATAAAACATCACGCTACGACTAAATGGAGTCGAGAAGCGGGTGAAACCGCGCGAGTGTAGCTAGTTTTACAATAAATTCATTAATACATTTATGTCGTTTGTGAATATAATTATCTGTTTTACTTTTTCTTTTTGTGGATAAAGTTACCAAGTACTATAGTGTGGGAGAGCCATGCTTCAGACAGAAGTAGATGAGTTCTTCCCCCATCCTCGATCCTCAAATTCCTAACAACTGACAAAAGGCAAGCAACCTGCTTGTAACTCCGACCATACGCCGTTATATACACCAGTATTACTACCTCCAGGTTTCTGTTTGTTGGCCAAAATATCCCATAAAAAGTAGGATGAACAAGTAAACAAGTTTTAATAGACATAAAGGAAAACAAACGCCACTGAACCTACTTACAATAATTACCTCTTTCATTATGACAGGATGCCCTCACTCTTAAACCTCTCCCTTCCTGTTAAACCTCAAGTAATAATAATAATACGAGTAAACTATTTATTATTCTCATTATCTCGAAATTACCCTGTAGGTAATATCTTTTCGGTGGGATCATCACTTTTAAAATGGAAACCAAAGTAAAGTTTCTTAGAATTCAAGTATAAATCAAAAATAGGGTCTTTTGGGCGTGTCAACTGTCAGTGTTAGGTACTAGTCTTTTGACTATGGTCAGTCTTAATTAAATGAGATTTTAACATATTGTGGGTATTATTAGAAGTAACACTGGTCAATAATTACAGTTTTATAAAAGTTCGTAATTAAAATTTGATTTTAAAAACCAACTACCAACGATCACTTACGTACTTATCAATGCCAGTTTATTTTTAAATTGGAACTTAAAAACTTATATCTAAAACTTACGGTACCAAAGCAAAATCCTAAAGTCCTAGAGCAAAACTCACCCGAAATAAAACAAAATATCTACACGCACTTCCACATAAATCACACACATGCACAGCACACGCGTCGGGGCTGCGCGTACGCAGCCAATCAGTTTTCAGATCACGGCAATGCGCGCGCACTTCGTAGAACGCGTGCGTGTGTTACGCGCGCTCGCTCCCTACTGTTCAAATCAAACCTGGCGTCGATATTGCGTTCCTAGAAATTTTGTTCGATTGCTTTTTGTATTTATTTTTCAAACGTATATTTTTATATTATGTAGCATTAGGTTATTAACTGCCATTGATTTTTGTCTGCAGTACATGAAATGAGGTCCTAATTATGAGAAGTTTAAAAGAAGTAAAATGGTTTTCTTAAGCGAGATCTAACCTGATACCTATTTTATTTAGTTGAACAACATAAATTACCTAACTGTTTTATCAAAGTTACTTAACCACTTTAGAAACACGGTAACAAATAGAACTTTAAACTCAACAATCTCTACAAAAAAAGTTCGCGCACATGTTTCTAAAGTTAAAAACAAAACAGAAGCTATTCTGCTAAACAAAAACGCTTATGTGGCCTCAAGTTACGCTTTTTTTTTCTACATTTTATTATTCCGGACGGACGTTACACTATGTGAATATCCTGAGTGCACATTGAACCGAAACGCGTCGTGGCGTGGATAAAAACTGTTTTAACTTTTTTCATGTTTCGGTGTTTCGGACATTGATTTTTTTCTTTTTACGGAAATATAGCCGGTGGCTCGTTGACAAGCGCTGTCTGCTATGTTTAATGGCTTGATTTATAAACTGTTGCAGAGTTTTAAATGAAGGTCCGTGTATTCGTTGAAAACTCTATGTTGTTGATTCTATAAAAAGTATTTCTATATAAGATTACGCAATTAAATTTACAAAAGATTGACACTTTTCTACTTGATACATTTTATTGGTACTTTGCGTTATAAATCTCAAATAATATAGAGTCAGTTTGGATTTACATTTTTTTTAGATATTAGTGTCTATCACAATTTATGAATTAATAATTCAGTGGTACCTACCTACTAAAACATCCAAAATTTTCTCAAGTGTCTTTCTATCAAGTATTTTTGCTCAACCCATCGCGATAACTACTTGGCAATTCAGCCAAGCTTTGAAAAAGTCGACACTAATCTGTACAAGACTCATTTCCAACAAATCCCATCTTTAATTAATCAACTATGGTGGTGAAACAAAAGAAAGGCGTGTGAGTTTTTCTGATACATACATTCTTTCGCGTGATGTGCAGTTTCTATCGTTGGAGAAAATCATCATCATACAATCATTTATGCAACTGTTAACATCTTTGTAAATCATGAAGATGATAACGTGCGATAGGTTAATTAGTTGTTGAAATAACAAACAATTGATTTTAATGGGTGTAGTTGACTTTTTGCTATAAAGTAATCTTGAAGATTTATGCTATTAGAAAAAAAGTCACCAAAACACTGTAATCTGAAGAAACATTAAAAAATATAAACATAATTTTTTTGAGTTGTTGCGCACGGGATCGGAATCTAATCTGTGACATTTTGAACATCAATCATCACGCCAAAAATTCATTTAGTAGTTGTTAAAAATGAAAACTCAGAATTCGTTATAGCAAAAAATGTTGCTGATTTTGTCCACAATCTCTTTGTATTGTGCCACAGTGTATTAAAATAATGTTCATAAATATTTTAAGTTGGTTTTACATCAAAGCAAAGTCCAACTTATACTTGGAGAACAAGTAATGAATGTATTCTGAAATCAACTATGAATTAAATTCCAATATTTATATTCATCATAAAAATGACCAAAACTATCTAGATTCTAGATGTAGTGTTGGAAAGTTTATAACGACGGAATTTTTGGAATTATTGAAAATAATTTAAACTATTAAAACTTTTTTTTGTGTTGGGAAAATCATCAAATGACTTCTCCCGCACAGGGCTGGGCGGGAAGGAGTGTCAGACTCTTACCGACTAAAAACCCCCTGTTCCTTCTCCTGCTCTGGGCCGAGGTCGCGGTGCCTCATTGCGCTTACCCCGCAACCCCGGCTGAACATCAGCCCTATAGGGCCCCGTCTGTGGTGGTCTATTGGCTCTTTGAGGCGCGCGCGGAGCGCTACGCGCCGTACGATCGGGCCTAACATAACGTTGATCCCGAAAATTCTTGTTACATTTGGTAAATCAAGTGCATAAATGTGTTCTTGTATTAACTTAGTTCGGTACTTATCAACCACTTAATTAAAATGTGTTTCCCATAGTGATTAAAATTATTATGTGTCATATTAATAATCGCTTAATCTTAAATTTCTGCTCAAATCTGAAAAAAAAACAGAATCATTTAAAAAAAATTAAAAACTATCTTGTACCTCTTTGGACTACTAGGTAGTATTACTTGAGTATTTTTTTAAATAAAAATGGTTGGTTTAATGTTTATTTTAAAATCAAGTTAGTGGTTCTCGTGAATTGAGATCACAATACTTGAATAATAATGATTGTCTGATCGAATTTCGATCACGGAGACGGATCTCAAGGAGACTAGATAATTACGTGGGGAACTGTTTTGGGGCAGTGCACTTGTGTCCTTAGAGACGAGTAATTAGGGGGAGGTTGTTTACCTATCGTGCCGTACTATTCTCCATTAACATCCGCAATCATGCGAAATAAGATTACTTAAACGATTCATTCGGATTCAGACATTTTTATGAGTCGGCTCGATCGGAGTGATCCCACGGTCTCACAGAGAACTGACGTGAAACAACACAGTCTTGTGCTTCGCCGTGTGAGCGAGGTTGCCGAAGGCCCAATCCCTAAATCTTCAAATCCCCAATCCCCAAAATGTCGGAAATGCACTCGTAACTCCTCCGTTGTCCATGGGCGGTCGGCGTTGATTGCTTACCTCCAGGTAATCCGGGTGCTCGTTCACCGTCCCAACACATAAAAAAATTTAGAAATGTTTTTGGTATGGCACCTAAAATTTACAATAAAATACCTAACGAAATAAAAAACATGTCTCTATTAATGTTAATTGATAAGTGTTATTATACAGTTGAAGAATTTATTAATGATATTTTTTAGTAGCTATTTTGTGTGCAATATTGAGATTTAGTAAGACTGCTGTACCTACCTATTTGTGTTTCTTAATTTTTATTTTTTTGTTAATCATAGTTTTTTTGTTTTTTCTTAAAAGTATCTACTTATTTAATTTTGTTTTTAATTAATTTTACTTTTTTAGTTGTATTGTTTTATTTTAATTATAATTTTGTGAAAAATTTGTACGCCTACACGGCAAAACATAGCGACCAAATATTGTTTACCCACCACCATGATGTAATGAATACCTATGTTTTACAAATAAATTTGATTTGATTTGATTTGATGTGTTTCTTTATCATACCAAAATGTACCACACAACCAAAATTGTTTCGTTTTTGTTTCGCAGTCAATATAAAAAAAAAACCTAAATGAACTAATTCGTATGTGCGGTGCAACTAATCGACGCCTTCACTACTATGACTCGTTACGATGACGTCACTGGCATCTAAAAATAGTTTGAGGTTCACTTCCGTGCGATTTCCAACGGTCTCAACTATTCTTGAGGAGGAAAACCAGATGGTTAAAAGCCAGCTGACTGTTTACCTCACCTTTGCCTCTGTAAAAAGGTTTTAACATTTTTTTTTTTTTTGTAATAACTGTAGTGTCTATTGGAGTATGATAGTATGGCACATTGCACAATCAAGTCCAACTGTTAAATAAACTTGTCAATCACTATCTAGTTTCATTGATAAATTTAATTTTAAAATGTTTGGTTTTTTCTATATGATATTGAAATGGCAAACGAGCAGTCGGATCACCTGATGGTAAGCAATCGGCGCCGCCCCTAGATCCTGGCCATAGATAGCACATCGGGTAACCTCAATAGCACAATAAAACACAATGTAAGCGTTGTCTCACCCACTACAGACGAGGCCCTAATAAGGGCTGATATGCAGCCAGGGTTGTGGGGCAAGCGCAATGGGGCACCGCGGCCTTGGCGCTAAGCAGGAGAAAGAACAGGCTTTTAGTCAGTAAGAGTCCGACACTTCCTTTTACCTCACGCTGGGCGGGAGAAGTAATTTGATGATTTTCTCATCAGAAAAAAAGCGTAGTTGTCGTATATCTCTAGTCGAGTTGGCACATTCGCTTCGTGGTTAGATTGTTAAGGAAAATTTTCGAATTTCGCAATATTTTATTTTAAAAAGAGAAATAACAATAATTAAATGGTAAACAATTAATGAGGGAGTTTTACTAAAATCAGTTTTTCGGTCATACCTACCTTTTACGAAAAAAATATTAATAACCTCAGTATGCGTGAACCGATACCGATCAAATTGATAAAACTCAATTCCAATTTCAAATTTACTTTTAGAATTATTCCATGCCGAATATCAAGTAATAAGTATTCCATCAAAGAAAAACTCTTTTTATTTCCCTGCCACAGATAAAATATTTATAAAGAATCGATTTTTATTTCGCAACAAGTTGAAATTGAATTTTTAAGTAATTTAACTTTTTACGGAGTTTGTTCGTAAAATGATATCTTAGCTGGAAAAATATTTACAAAATGGAGTGAAATATTATCAACATTACTATGTAACTTACTTACCTAGATTTTTCTTAGAATATCGAATATTTGAGCTATTTCTTATGTTTAGTAGATATATTTTTAAGTTTTTATTGACAGGCTGAATGAAACAATTCTTCATTTTTATCCTACAATCGAAAATTTTAAAACCAAAAAAGAATAAGATCTCAGCCAGTGAATCTGACATTAACACAATTTTTACACCATTCGATTAACCTAACCTACGAAGTACCTATATTGAAAAAAACGCCAATTCCACTAACAACCCTTAACTGGTAGACCATTGGTGTGGCTATTTTTAGACTGTTATATAAAACACGTGGCCCAGGTTTTTATACATCCTGAAACATCCGTGGGAATATGGTTCTCCGGGGTTAGTGCAGCTTTTTTCTACATAAAGAGATTTTTTAAAATCGGTCAAGTAGTTTTGGAGCATATTCAAATCAAACAAACAATCAAATCTTTCTTCTTTATAATATTTTTTTTCTT